AAAAGATAAACAGAGAGCTACAAAGAAAAGGAAAATGTGGAGAGCTGTTATCAGCCACATCTTAAATTATCACGAAACACAGAAGAAAAGACAAGCTTATTTCTTTTGTTTTACAGCGAAGACTGCAACTTCTATAAATGCATTAGCTCACCTGCGAATTTGCCTAATTAAGTCAGGTGAAAGTCATTTTGTGAAGAAATGGCAAGTACTATATTCTTCCTATATGTGCTGTGACCCTTCATAACGTTGGCGATCATGGCTCTCCACAACTTTCTATCCTGTTTAACTCTTAATAAATTTTGTCTTTTTGTTATCTCTCTTAAACTTTGTTCCGCCATCCATTTACTCAAGCTCGCTAGATAGGTTACACATTGTTTTTCTCTGTCCGTTTTGCCTCCAATCTGTCCTGTGAGTATCACATTTTCCAAACCCTCTTTCTCCTCCAATTTGTCATTTGCATGCTGAAGTGTCCCGTTTGTTAACAACAATACATTCTGTTTTCTTGCAATTCACTCTTTTCTTATCGCTTTCCTCTTCACTACCTTTTGTGGTAGTTCTTGTAGATTCATTAAATATATATATATGTGTGTGTGTGTGTGTGTATGTGTGTGTGTGTGTGTGTGTTCGCGCGTGGGGGGGGGATGGATGGGTTTTACTTTAGTTAAAGTGTGCTAAACAATACTATATTTTTAAACTTTTTTAACTTCCTACCTTGCCTTTCTCGACTTAAAAAAAATATATATATATAGAGAGAGAGAGAGGGGGAGAGAGAGAGGGTATTCACTATTCCTTTTATGATCAGAGGCAAAAGGTTTCATAGCTGATAATCAGAAACTTCTTTTTAATCATTTCCCACCAAGCAAGGCAATAAAACCACTAAATTGAAAAGCGAGATGCCAGATCAGGACTAATAACATTGCAGATTCTTGTTTGGATTTTATCAAGAATCTCTAAATATATAGAAGGAGCAACAGACCAGATGAGCCAGCAGTATTCAAAGCATTGACGAATGATTGACTTATAAATATGTAAGATAGATTCTGGCGAGAAGAACTGTCTAGCATGACACAGAGAAGCAAGATTTAGCAGCAGACCTCCCAACTGATTCGATATAATTTTTCTACTTCATGTCAATGGTAAACGTTAGTCCGAAAAGGTGCAATGGAACACTCTCCTTGAGATCCTGATAGAAAGTAAAGCGTTCTCTCAAAAGATTAAAAGAGAGATGTTTCGTTTTTGAAGCGTTAAAATTAACAAGCTATTACTTACCCCAGTTAACAGCAGATTTTAGATCACTTTTGAGATCGGCTGCCAATTTAATTGCATCGAACCGCTCAGACTTACTATTTGGACAAGACAGGAATAAATGGTTGAGACATCAGCATAAATAACGAGTTTAGAATTAATGCCATTATGAAGGTCGTTGATGAAAATTAGGAACAAAGTGGGTCCAAGGATAGAGCTCTGTGGTACGCGTGCATTAATCTAAAAAGACTTTGACGAGTGGCCGTTCAAGACCACTTTCATTTTGCAATTCAATAAGAGAAACTGCATCAGTTCAAAAATTCGTCCGGAAATGCCATAAACCTTTCAACTTGTGAAGAAGACCAATATGCGAAACACTATCAAATTCCTTTGATATATCCCAAGCAACATACCGAGCTTTTTCTATGTAAAGATTGATAGAGTTTCAGTAATGATAGTGAAAACAATATGGCCTAAAGAAGAGAAAGCTATATTGCTTATCTGAAACAAGATCCTATGTAGTGATATGATTAACCAAATCAGAGTTGATTAGAACCTAAAACTAAAAATTTATATTTTTTTATCTTAATCCCTTATGTCTACTGCCGTTGTGGGGGGAACATATCAAAGAATTTAAATTATTTTTTAATAAAATATGTCGGTAACAAGTCATTTCCAGACAAAATACAATTCTAAACAGTATTATTATTTTTTAAAAATTCTTACCTTGACTTTTTCGACTTAATAGTGAAAAGGGAATTTCGTATTCAGTTTTCGGTCAGAGTCACAAAGTTTCAAGATAATCAGAACCTTGAAGTAAAAAAAAAGATGAAAATAATACTGTAGAAATTACTGTTGCATTATTTCTTTGTTCACCAATAAAATCTGATATCGATAACTTTTGAAAGCAATCCGATGGGCGACCTGCGATTGTAAATGTCTTCATAGGCAATTTCAGTCTTTTTCGTAATCTAATAAAATAACTTTTTTCAATTCTTCATATTTTTGAGAATCTATGTAAGATTACCATACGGAGACAAACGTAGCGTCAATACTTTTGAGATGAAATTGCCCCTCTGATAAAGAAATCCAACCATTTACAGCTGTCTCCATAAATATTGCCCCTTTGATAAAGAAATCCAACCATTTACAGCTGTCTCCATAGATGTTGCTTCTTTAATTATTATGTATGTATTGATTAATGATTTTAATCCATTATAGTAATTCTCCCAAACAAAGTAAGCAGTTATATGTCGGAGTTAACTCCTCCTTCAGTCCGTTAACCCTTTCACCAGGGGTCTCTCTTCGCTGCTATAAATAGCCGCGGACCCTTCGCCTCTATCTCTTTTTTTCCGTCAGGCCTGCGCGCCGATACCTTGAGGTAAATCTCTTTTTCCTTCAGGATTTCAGCTATCAACCTCGAAATGTAGGCGCTAACAAAGGAATAGCGTGGAAACACGCTAAGCACAATACACACACACGCACGCATATACAGAATATTCACACACGCACGCACATACAGAATATTCACACACACTTCGTCCTTTGTACTGTTTCCATGTATTGTAACTTGTTATTAATATGTATTTGTATATACATATATTATCGGTCTTGTGTTTTGTTTGCTTTCTTTGCCTTCTTCTTTGGACTTAATCAAAGTCCAACCTTTTTATGTAGTTGGGCCCGGCGGGCAGGAGTATCTGAACCTTATATGCGTTTCTTCTACGTCTGACTTCTATCAACAACATAACAGCCACAGCCCCTCTACATATATATTCACATACTCTTATTGTACGAAAAATAAAAAGTGCCATCAGAATATATGAGACGATTTTTTTTTAGTTTCGTAAAACAAAACGCCTATCAGAAAATGAATCTAGAAAATAAACTTCCATATAGAAAAAATAAGAAAATATAATTTATTTAGGTTTTATAAAAAGAAAAATTGTAGCGTTCACATACCAACGGGTCTAAATAAAATTAGTTACGTGACGATTCAGTATAAAAATATCGACCTCGACAGGTTAACATGGCAATGCCTGGCTGTAAAGACTGGTCTTCATTACAGTAACATTCACACACACACACACTCACACTCACTCACTCTCACTCATCACCCATTCTTTATGTAGACATTTTATCAAATAAATTAAGCAATTATATATTCACATACTGTGATTGTACAAAAGCTAGAGAGGGCTGTCGTAATATGTAAATTCATAAGTAACATGAGTTCACATTTCATATGAATAGTAACAGGATCAAATCCAGCAGCCGTCATTTGACCTGAAACATTGCTATTGCAAGTTCGCGACAGACATTTTATTTCGCAGTTGATCTAGACAATTAGTTAAGTGAAACTTGAATTTTATTTCAAGTCTCTATCAGATAATCTAATTTATGATAAGATCCATTAGAATATATGAGAATATTTTTTTATAATTAGCTTGTTAAAAAACACCTATCAGAAAAAGTGTATTTAAAGTTCTTTGTTCGAGGTCACCATTTTTACCAGTTTTGTAATCATAGTAACAATTATTATAGAAAATAATCTTCCATATCCAAAAGTTAAGAAAATACAATTTATTTACATTTTGTCAAAAAAATGTAACGTTCACATATCAATGACTGTTAAGATAAATAACAAATAAAAGCAGTTATTTGACGATTCAGTACAAAATCACGGACCTAGACAGGTTGACATAGCAATGCCTGGCTGTAAGGTTGGACTGAATTACTATGGTGACATATTCACACACACACACACACACACACACACACACACACTTTACGTGTTGAATCATTTTTTTTTTTTATCAGTGGCACTAAAACATGATCTCTATAAATGTGCTTCGTTTTTGTTGTTTTTTCCTTCGCTTTTCAGGTTTCCTTTTTATATTGAACACCTTTACGACATATTCCGTAATTGAAATATGTCGTAATATGTAAGTAGATTAAAAGGAATTAAAATGCACCACGAATATGTATAAAAGGTTTTGTATATGTAAAAGTTGATTTTCTGCAGATGTGGCTTTTCATTGTAAAAAGTCATATTGCGTGAAATGTTCGTAGAAATAAACATATCATTTATATAGAGAACATTTCTAAATTTAGTAAATTTATATAGAGAACATTTCTAAATTTAGTCAATGTCATTGTCAGTTACTGTAGAAAATGAAGTACAAACGACTTGATTTAGAAAAACTGGGATTAATTTCAGTGATCAGTGAGTCTTTTGATTACTATTCACTTCTCTTTCACCTTCGAGGAAAGATAATCACTTGGCATAAATTTGAATGCCATCAGCTTACAAAAAGATTTATTTACTCCGTGATTTCTCAGTTCTGTGACTGGTGCTTCTTATAATCTGATGGAAGAATGAGTTTCTGACATTTCGTTTTTCATATGCCAGGGTCTCAAATCTACAGAATGGACTGGGAAGAATGAACAAAGAGCTTTTCTTTATTTACAGCTTCACGTATCATTCAAGATTATATTCAATTTGAATTTCAGCGATCAAGATTATTTCGGTTTTTGTAACAGTTTGAGGCTAAATCACAAGAGATTTGAATTTGTGATTTGATTAAAATTATCAATATTGATCTTAGAGTGGGTCAGATTGTTGCGGGGCCGATAAGGATGTCACCCCCGCAAGCTTTACGAAGAAAGGTGTGAATAGCTAAAACAATGAGGAACAAAAGCAGAGGTTTAGAATAACAAACGTCGGATTTATTTGTCGATCTCGACAAATGTACGTACAGGAATTGTTTGGTATAGTTCGATCGTGAAATCAGGGAGTGCAGTTGAAGGATCGTTGTTAGTGTTCAAGGCGGCAGCTCGGAGGCAGACAGATGGAACAGCGGTATTCGAGGTCCAGTCGATCCCCGGATGTTCGCCCTTTGTAAAGAAGCGCGTCGGCGTTTTGGAAGAGAGAGGATCGGCGTAGAGAGTGCTGGGGTAACCTATTCGTCCTTAGAATGACAGTCGTGTAAGAACGCAGCTTGGTAGTCCTTAAAAAGGACTATCGCATGTAAGACGATTAGTTAGTCCTAAAAAAGGACTATCGCATATAATGTGGCTAGGTAGTCCTGAAAAGGACTGTCTCATATAATGTGGCCAGGGTAGTCATTAAAAGAACTGTTGCATATAATGTGGCCAGGGTAGTCCTAAAAAGGACTATCGCATATAATGTGGCCAGGGTAGTCCTAAAAAGGACTTTCGCATATAATGTTCGGCTGCTGCTGCTGCTAAGGTTGGCTCGGCCCGCTGCTGCTGCTGAGGTTGGCTGCTTCGTACGGCCAGGTGAAGGTGAGAGGGGGAGCACCTCGCTCTACCCAGGGGCCAAGTTGGCCGAGTAAGCCAAATTATTTGGTGGAAGAAATCGGCTGTGTTTATGTCGGCTGCGGTTAGCATCGTAGCCGGTTGGCAATGTCTTTTGGTTGATGACTAAAAATTACCCACCGCATTTTGACTGTACACATGGGTTTCACTTGGACACCATGTGTATATAAAGTAGTTTCTGGTCGTTAGGAGGACTTGTTTATGTTTCATTTGTTTTGCTTTTTGTGTCTCGTTCTCTGAAAAAAACGCTGAGTCACTGGAAATTAACGGCATTCGTTCTGTTTTCCGCGGCGACGCTTTTGGACGTTTGAGTAACCGGCAGTAACTTCCGGCCGGGTGCGATAAAATCATAGCCAAATGTGATATAATGCTGCATAGAAAGTTCGATCTCAATAAGCAATTACATATCGTTTTCTTTTTTCTTTCTGTGCCTCACTTTTGTTTTTATTTTGAGATAGCTAAAACATAATGTAGGTCATTTAAAGGGAAAAAAAAAGCAAAACAATTTTCTTTAATTCTTCTTAAGGTTAAGATGGCCCCAACATAATCTAACTCATTAAAAATTAAATTTGAACTTTTACTTAAGTAATTATTATAATCTTCTCCCCTCAAATTGAATCGTAAGGACGGAACGAGCAATTATTTCCCTTTTGGTATAACGAATTCACAAGAGTCACGTGACAGTCAGTTTTGGGGTAAACGGCGATGAAGCAAGGCATGAGTGACAGCTGCGGTAAGACGAACAAATAAAAAACCACGTATTCCAAATATGGAAAATAAAATAAACACCACACATTTTTCACCATATGCCAGATGTAATCTTACAAAAACCAACGTCTTTCTCAGCTACGGACATGAATACCTATGCCACTGAATATGAATTACAATTAAGTCATGGGAAATTTCATTTTTTTCTTCCATTGTATGTTTAAGTAGACTTTTCATAGATATGTAGACAGATAATGAGCAGACGGAGATAGATAGATAGATAGATAGATAGATAGATAGATAGATAGATAGATTTAAGAAATTGATTTGCATTCCTGATTTTGACATAATTGAATCTTTCAGTCAGGAAAGAGTTGATGATTTACTGTTTGTCTTTCGTGAGGCATAACTTCAAATCGCTTTCAAGAATATATGATTTTTTTCCATTTCAGACTATCTAGCTTTTGGGTAAGGTATGAATCTTCTTCTTCTCCCCCCAATTATGGGTAAATAGCAGGACAGACTGGGTTCTATAGCATTGGATGGAAATTGGTCTATCGCAAAAAGAAATGGCAACCTACTGCAGGAAAAAATCTGCCTCGTCAGTCATATATCGAAAGATACATGATCGCCTAAGTATGTATCACGCATGACACATAACTTAGCTTGATACAATATCTCAACTTAAGATCTACAAATCATGTAGAGTACCAGTTGTCCAATGAGTAATAAATTGATGACAGTCGAGACATTTGGGGTATCTTGGAGTGATATTTAATTGATTTAGATAAAGTTTCAGTGTCCTTTGATTCTTTTGCTGATTTCCTGACAAAAGTGACATAAATTAAGGTGTAAATTCTTAGAAGATATCTGAATCGGACAGTTCTATGTTCATATTTATTATCACATCCACTATGGCGACCTTCAATCAATCCTTGTTGTAGAACCGAAGGATTCTCTACAATGCCCCAGACATTGTCGTCCAAGGAATTCAAATCAGTAAAACTAGAAGACCGTATGTTGGGAGTGATATGATCATGACCATTCTCAGCCAACCACTTCTGGGATACATATGTCTTATAGAAGGCAATCCTGTTGGAACACATCCGGCCACACGCTCTGATCCATCAATGTGGATACATTCTTTGGGTTCATGCATTTATATACGTCACAAATTAAACGAAGCAAAACTGGCTATTAAAAGATGAAAAATTTTCGCAGATTTGTACGTCATTCTGGGTTCTTTTTTTTCTCAGAATCCATGAATTTATTTTCCTCGTGCTAAGTCTCTAAAAAAAAGTAAATAAAATTCACTATTTTTATTCATAATGTTAAATGTGTTAAAACTATTTAACTTTTTAACAAGAAAAATCTCAAGTTAATTATAAAAATTGCCGCAAAACATTGTTGATTTATTTCAAGTGGAATGATCTATTATGAAATGTCTCTAATTGGTATTTAGATTTTTGGGAACTTCAACGTGCTGTAATGGTTAGTAAGCTTCTCTTGCTAGATCAGTTGCGACTGAATAGTGAATTTGATCCTCACTGGGCGTTCCATACTTTCGGCCGTGTACCACATCTAAGCTGCGCTTAGAAAATCACTATTGTCTTAATTTTCAATTTTTCTAGTTGAATTGTTTACCTATATTGCATATAAATCATTATTACACATAATTAGGTCAACATAAAATTTTTATTTTATATGAATACTACCAGATGAAAATTGAGATGTAGTAGATTGGGGGTCGGGGTTCCGTATCATAGATTCGTGGGTCGGGTGCACGTGATCAATGCACCAGCCCTGGGGGTATCCGCCACGAGAACACTTCATTTTTGCCTTTTATGCAATAGAACTGAAATAAATATTTGGATATTCATCGAAAGTTTCATGCACAAGGTCGAAAAAACATTGTACCATTTTTTCTACCATTCTCTTCTCTCTCTCTCTCTCTCTCTCTCTCTCTCTCTCTCTCTTTCGCGCTCGCTCGCTCGTTCGCTCTCTCAGACTTCACAATCCTTACAACCACTTTTGATGGTTGAGGAATGTGGAGAGATCTTAGGCGGAGTAGGTGATGCTATGACAGTTTACTTTCCAGTGCCCGAGGTTAATAGTAAGGCCTCACGACAGTCAAGGGACGGTTTCTTGACGGGAACCTACTTATCATGGAAATCTACAGTGTGCTTACCAGTCTCTTCTACAATGTCAGTTTTCTGCCGGAAACAATGACCAGCAGCTTCCTCCCCTCGTCAAACGAACAGTTGGGAATGGGGTTGAAAGTTTCTCTGTCGATTATCAGGCCGAAATGTCACTCTCTGCGGCGTATCTGATCGGGATTCACGACCTCAGTCTCCCCATACTGGATAAAAGGCGGCAAAACAAAGTGACCCTGGTATGTTGTGGACGCCAATATTTTTCCTTTAGAATACGATATTTTGTTTTTCCCTTTATTTTTCAGGGCAAAATAGTCTTCTGGTGTGGGTAGTGGCACGACCCACATGGGAACATTCTTGCCTTTGTTCGCCTGTTGAACTTTGACACTCAGATATTAGACTAATTTTTATCATAGTTTTTCGTTAATTTGACAATCTTTGCGAGTTTTCTCTCAACCACAAAGTTAATTTTCTTTTCTCAGTTCGTCCTACAAGCTATCCTCTTTTATTCGGGGAATTCACTTCGACGTTTTGTAATACTAATTGATAATTAATTGATAGTAATAGTTGTAATTCATAATTGATCTAGCAAGCTTTTCTTGCTACGAATTGAGTAACAAGTTCAATCCATGATTTGTGCCACATCTAAACTACGCTTAGAAAATTCTCCTCCTCTTTTATTAGGTGAATGCACTTTATACCCTGCTTGTCGAATTCCTCCACATCGACTAAAAACTGAGCGGGCGTCTGCAATAGGGGTTGGCTAGCCGCCCTTGTATCCTCGAATGCGAGTTGCCAATATGTCTGTCCTTCTATTTACTCATGACTGGAGAGGGAGGGAAGAAGAAGAGGATTCATACCTTCCCCAGGTGTATTAGCACGTGAGTGAATGTAACAGATTCGACTGGATTTCGAACTCGGCTCTCCGATTCCTCAATCCGAGCAATCCAGTACTCCATATATATATATATATATATATATATATATATATATATATATATATATATATATATATATATATATATATATATATATAGGACACTACTTTTCTGAAATTATTTGCATTATATATATATATATATATATATATATATATAAATATAAAATCTTTTAAATTATATCCAAAGGCAGATGGCACTTTACTTTCTTTAGGATTCTTCAAATATATATCCATCTTGTTTTGCAAGATATTAAACACAGCAGTTAATAAAGTCTGAAATCGATCAGTAAACGATTGGGGAACGAAATATGGGGTATTTTACGTTTGGTGTGTCCCCTAAAATTACACACAAATCTCGAATGCTTTTTTTTGGGGGGGGGCTTTCTAGTCGAAGGACTTATTCTTCTGGGTAAAGCATACCTGCCCTACCCAATTAAGCTAGTGTAGAAATTTTTTTGTGTGTCGTTTGTTTGTTTGTTTGTTTGTTTGTTTTTCATGAAAATGAGTTAACTTAGCAAAAAAGTGTTTGGTCATTAGCGCCTTTTATTTTTTTAGTCCCAGTATTTTTCGTTTTCATTCACCCACCTACCCCCTCTTTAGGTGACAAAAGTCACAGTTCTCTGCATCTGTGCGATCATTTTGGGTTTTTTTTTATGTTATTTTAAATTTTTTCTACACGTTCCCATCGTATTTTTCAAACAGTTAACTTCCTTTTCAGCCACATTTAGCCATGGGAAAGGTGCCATACTAACATTTTCAATATACAGTGTAACCCGAATATAAGAGAGTTGTCGGGACCGGAGAAGAAGTCTCTTATATCCGGGTTTCTCTTATATCCGGGTTTGGTCTATTTTGTTTAGGTAACACAGCCTCTAATTTGGGACCAGAGAAAATCTCTCTTATATCCGGGTTTCTCTTATATCCGGGTTTGGTCTATTTTGTTTAGGTAACACAGCCTCTAATTTGGGACCAGAGAAAATCTCTCTTATATCCGGGTTTCTCTTATATCCGGGTTTGGTCTATTTTGTTTAGGTAACACAGCCTCTAATTTGGGACCAGAGAAAATCTCTTTATATCCGGGTTTCTCTTATATCCGGGTTTGGTCTATTTTGTTTAGGTAACACAGCCTCTAATTTGGGACCAGAGAAAATCTCTCTTATATCAGGGTTTCTCTTATATCCGGGTTTGGTCTATTTTGTTTAGGTAACACAGCCTCTAATTTGGGACCAGAGAAAATCTCTCTTATATCAGGGTTTCTCTTATATCCGGGTTTGGTCTATTTTGTTTAGGTAACACAGCCTCTAATTTGGGACCAGAGAAAATCTCTTTATATCAGGGTTTCTCTTATATCCGGGTTTGGTCTATTTTGTTTAGGTAACACAGCCTCTAATTTGGGACCAGAGAAAATCTCTCTTATATCAGGGTTTCTCTTATATCCGGGTTTGGTCTATTTTGTTTAGGTAACACAGCCCCTAATTTGGGACCTGAGAAAATCTCTCTTATATCCGGGTTTCTCTTATATCCGGGTTACACTGTACATTTAATTTCTTTCATTATGTCACGAGGTTATTTTTTATCATTATGTTGATAAAAATCATTTATACTTTTTATCTCCTCCATATGTTTGTAAATACAGGGAATTAGTTTAGGATCTTATAGAGAACGTGCGTTATTTTGGTGATCGTGGTACGGATGCGCTTTCTGTATAAATGTAATATCGTAATGAAAGATTTATTATAAGTATAATTATGTCAGTGAGCGTGACTAATTAAGTTAAAGTTTAGACTAGTGATAACAAGCTTTCCACATCTATCTTTTCGGCCTTGTGCCATATATATATATATATGTATATATATATATATATATATTATACAATAAATATTAATTTCAAATACGATTAGGATTAACACAGACGGAAGTTTATCTAATTTTTCGACAGTGGACATATCTGCACAAATTACTTGAGAAATATAACGTGAGAGTTTTTATATAATTTTTAACTGTCCAGTAATCTTAAAAATTTAGGAAAATATTCTCCATAATCTAATTTTTTTTTAATTTTATGTACTTAGGCTTTAAACTTGCTATATGATCGCTCTCATTTTTTTTAATAATGTCGTGTATGGACGACCGTATTTACAAAAATCGGGTCGTTTATATAAAACATAAATAAAATTAAAACTTTTAAAATATTGGGGTCGATCAATTATAGTAAGCTTTTCCATTCATGATTAGTAAAT